AGAAGAAGAAGAAGAAGAAGAAGAAGAAGAAGAAGAAGAAGAAGAAGAAGAAGACAGGCAAACCACGTGACCTTTTTCCCACCAATCAAAACAGCCGAGATGAACATCCGCCCAAATTTGAAAGTGCCCACCAGCTTTGTTTTTTTGGTTTTTTTTAGAGGCGACGCGACACGAGTAGGAGAAGCTGTTATTTTTGACGAGACGATGAACACTTTCGACGAAGCAGATCTAAAAATGTATTTTTATGAGAACAGACTAAAAACGTATGAAGGCTGGCCTTTCAACGAAGACTGTACGTGCACCCCGGAGAACGTGAGTGAATGATTGAAACGCGTCAACACTGTGGCTCACACTGTGGGAAACAGTAGTTTTATAGCTAGTGCAGCATTTAGATAGCGTTTATAAGTTAAAGTTACTTTGCTGTTTTACATAAAAGTCCTGTAATTATAATTTATATCTTAAAAGTGATAGTTTTACTTAGTTACAAACAGACTGTGTGACAAAATCCTCTTAAGTAAAGGGCCTAAACCTTCAAGGCTGCTCAAATGTGAAAATCAACTAAAGATATTAGTTAGGTGTTATTTATGGTGGTACGGTCTGATCCCACTCACATCTTCAACTTACAATACGAGCTGTTATCTGGTAAAATTAATCTGTCCCTACATCAATCAGAATGATAAATAAGGCAGTTATGTAGTTTTTCATCATGCTATTGATGCTCTGGTCTGATTTTTTTAGGTTTGTTTAGAATATGCAACTTATTTAGAAGCAATATATGATTATATGTGTTTTATTGTTAATATTTTTGTGGTGTTAGTGTTCAACRTGTGTTTTTATTGTTTGTATTGTACTCTAGTAGCTTTGTTTAAAGCACGATGTCCAAGACAAATTTCCCTTGTGGGGGACAATAAAGTATACRTCTAGTTTTATTCATAACATCAGTTGATACTTTATATAGTTCGTAAGAAACCTGTTACATCCATGTCAGATATGTACATACAGATCTCTGTACATTTGGGAAAATAAATGTCGTTGATCAATCAATAACTGTGATTTTATTCTGTTCGTTCTTTTCTTCTAGATGGCCMGAGTTGGCTTCATCCACACTCCGTCAGAAAACAGTCCAGACATCGCCATGTGTTTCTTCTGCCTCAAAGAGCTTGAGGGCTGGGAGCCAGAGGATGACCCAGAGTAAGATCAGCGTTTAGTCAACCTTCACTATTTTAATTTGCAACACGATCAAAACAAGGAGGGGATTTTTAAGTATTTTTATGAGTTTAAATTAGTTTTGCTTTAAGTCATTTTATTTTTTCAGGAAGGATTATTTTCCCAGTATTGACATAAAATACCTGTAATATTATTTCTCCCCTTCTGAATTAAAATATATATTAGAGGTTGATTTCTGCCGTAGCAAATCATAAGAAATTAGGCCAGCCAGTGGCTGCCATTTTCTTCTTTTTTGGCCCAATAGCTTTTTTTTAAAATTTCACACAATATAACAATAATTTGCTTAACTTGATCAATATTTAACAATTCTAAAACAAACCTTTACACTAAAAAAATAATTACACGAGCGTATTCTAACTTTAAACTACTAAAATGTGCACAATAGTGAGCTGATTGCAGGAGCTGCTGCTGTATTTTCCTTTTGGTTATGTAGAAGCCTTACTGATGGCTGACTTTTTATATTTATTTATTTTAAAAGCGGCCAATATTTATTTATTTTTATTTATTTAATCAGGACAGTGAAAAATCTTATACTTCTGTATACTTAAAATGAGCCAGATTATAGCATAGTTGCTAATTTACATCTGCAGTCCTGAGGCAGGAAGACAAAACAACAGAAGGTGTTCAGGAAAACAACACAAGATACACAATATACAACATCAAACAAAATACAGACACATGTTCAGACAAATGACAACGCAACAATAAAATTATTCAATGAGTACATGACTGGGAACTGTTAAAAAACAGTTTAAGATGCTTTTAAAATGTGTAATAATTGGGACATTACCTTATATTTGTTGAGAGACGGTTCCAAAAGTGTGTATTATTATAATATTGGTGATTTGGATGCAAACCTCTTCAAATTAAAGCTGAAAGTTTGCAGTTAAAGTACACCTTGTTTGTTTCATTTCCAATCCATCATGGTGGCGTTTACAGCCAAAATGATGAAATCTGTTTTTCCACGGTATACTTTAAGATATGCAACGTTACCCAGTTAAAACAGGGCCATATTTGGGAAAAYAACCTTCAATCTGGAGGCAGTTATCACCTGCGACACTCTTCACCAGAAAGGGTTTTCCTTGCTATGTCCTTCATCTCTTTTTCCTGGCTGACTCTGCAAGATTTTAAAATTGTTAGTTGATTTTCAAAGACTGAGAGACCCCACACAATGATAAAAAAAACAAGTCATAGATAACAGGTTTGGTCCTACAGTGTGTCTTACAGCCACACAGTAAGAACAGCACACTCCACATGAACAGATTTCACTCACCAACATTCAGATGGCAGACAGGAAAACACACTAAGACCTATCGAGMTCAAACGTGACTTCAGAGTGAAATAAACATGGCTGAAGAGACAGAAACATTTATGACAGTTTGTGGACTGTTTTTAACAGAGGAAAAACAACAAAAAGACGTCTCTGATGTCCACCAGACATGGTGCTCCACGACAGTTTTGTCTTCCCCTCCGTGTTTCCATCACCTCTCTTTCTGATTGGCTACACGTCACATTAAACAGGCTGCGAGCTTGCTTGTTCTTCGGTAACACCACACACGCTGGGATATAACATGAAGATCCTCGATTTGAGGTGGGAGCGGTCCTTGCATCCTTCCAAGTCGACTAGATCACCCAACACACCGCGCAGCAGGAGTATCTCCTAAGATTATCTTTAGAGCTATCATAATAATCGGGGATACCTTAAGATTGTCAGAAGGGAAAAATTGGTCCAGAAATCAGCACATTTATCTGTACATTTATCTTTCCAYGTGAAGCAGGCATTAAATGCTCTCCTGCATCKCCGTTAAACTCCATCTGTCAGCAGCACAGTCCCAGTAATTATACCATGTTGGGCTTCCCAACTCACTTGAACCATGTCAGGAGGTAGCTTTGTGGCAGAAGATCATCTCACAGCAAACGCTTGCCTCATATTGTTCAAATCTTTCTGTAAATGTTTAAATTTGACTTTATTTAAAATAATGTCTTGTCAAAATGTACAAAAATGTTCTTCACAGCTAAAACATATTGTACAGCGTTGCTTACAGCTGCTTATATTGACACTTCTTGTTTTAACTCATACAATTTCCTATAAATGTGTAACAGATTTCCTTGTTATTTTTTTAGGAAAGAGCACAAGTCTCATTCACCATCCTGCCACTTCATTGCCCTGAAGAAAAAAGTAGAAGAGCTGACTGTGGAAGAGTTCTTACATTTAGAGAAGGAGAAGCTCAAATTCATGATTGTAGGTTTTTTTATGAGACAACATAAATTTCTTTTTTGTATTTCCGTGTAATCTAGGATGTGTTGTCTTCAAAATATTTATCAGGGTTTTTAAAAAAGATGTTTAATTGTTTAACTATCTTTACTTTGAAATTTAAAAATACATTTACGTCTCTAAAGCAGTCCTGCAAGAACAAACCTCAACCTCAGTGTGGATTCAATTTCTTTGTTTTTCTGACAGAAAAAAAAAGGAAACGAGGCCATTGCCAAGTTTGAGGAAGCAGCCAAACAGAAAAACACAAACATCATCAAGACGGCCTTGGGAGAGGAGTGACCAAGATGAACCAGATGTGCATGAGAGAAGAAAGCTGACTGTAATCGAGTCATTTCTCAGAGATTTGTAAATAGTTTTTACTGCTTCCTGTTTAATCTTTGTGTTTATTTTAAATAAAWTTTTGTTGATGCTTTTGTAACTGACTACATAATAATCCACATACAAGTCATTTGTTTTAGTCGTTAGTTTTGAGGCCACTTTAACTGCTTGTTAAAGTATAGATGGATGGATTTTCATTTTGATAAAGCTGTTTTCATGACTTTTACTGGTCTTGCTTGTTTACTACAACAGCATAAAAATTCGAGAAATTCAATTGTCTTGTCTTATTTATTTTCGTTTTAAGTGCAAAAGTCTGCAGCGTGTTCCCAAACCCAGCTCTTTCTCCAGCCTGAGGCTCTTACCCAAACTAGAAATGTATGAAATTTGTTTGTAATGTTTTTAATAGTGGTGGGGGGACTTTTGAGTTTTCAGGTTTCCCATTTTAGGGCCTTCCTAGGTGGCGTTTGCATGGTTTTCTCTGTGTGCTCCAATTTTCTCCCACAAACTCCAGTTACACACAAGGCAGCCAAAAATCAGAACTTGGTCCAAGCCAAGGGCCGATTTCTCAATGTCAAGTTTATTTCTAGAGCACTTTCAAAAACAATATTTATTAAAAAATGTATAACAAATTATTCTTAGAAATATTATGTTTTGTGTAGCATTTAGAACATACATAACCTAATGGATTAAGATACATTAACATTCTTATGCTTTACACCTTTTTTAATTTCGTATTTCTTAAAGGTACATTTGATCACAATTCAGCAAATCAGGTAAAAACAAGAAAGCCCTCAAAAATCTAATTATTTGACTTTAAAATAAAGAATGCAGTAAGGGATAAAGATGATTCTCTGTTGCTGTTTTAACACCAAAATCAAAGATTAATGAAAAAAATCTAAATTAATTATCTTGGCTTGAAATTTGGCCATGAAAATAAAATCTACAAGAACAACAGCGTGGTTTTCATCCTGGGTGTGGAACAGTGGACCAGATCTTTACCCTTGCAGAGTTGCTAAGGGGGTCATGGGAGTTTGCCTCTCGGTCTAYATGTGTTTTGTAGACTTGGAGACTTATGACCGGGTTCCTCGAGGCAKTCTGTGGGGGGTGCAGTGGGACTATGGAGTGTCTGGATTGCTACTAGAGCGATCCAGTCCTTGTAGAACCAAAGCAGGAGTTGTGTTCACACAAAGTCGAGCTTGTTCTCGGTGCAGGTTGGACTCTGCCAGGGCTGTCCCTTGTCTCCGATCCTGTTTGTAGTGGATCTAATGATGCAGTTGTGGAGAGGASAGTGTTTGGTTTGGGAACCACGGGGTCTCATCTCTGCTGTATGCAGATGATGTGGCTCTGTCTGGGTCTTTGGACCAAGACCTTCAGCATGCACTGGGGAGGWATGCAGTCGAGTGTGAAGTGGCTGGGATGAAAGTCAGTTCCTCTAAGTCTSAGGCCATGGTTCTCAACTCCTTCAGGTCAGAGTTTATGCCACAAGTGGTATCTGGGTGTCTTGTTCACGAGTGATGGTAGGATGGAGMGGGAGATGGATCGACAGATTGGGGACTCGTCCTCAATAATGAGGACGTTGCTTTGGTCGGTTGTGGTGAAGAAAGTGGAGTCGAAAGGCAAAGCTCTTGATTTACTGGTGTGTCTTTGTTCCAGCCCTCACCTRTGGTCATGAGGCGTGAATTATGACAGAAAGAATGAGATCCTGGATACAAGCAACAGAAATGAGCTTCCTTCATAGGGTGGCTCAGTCTTAGAGATAGGTAAGGAGCTCGGTCATCCCGGGAGAGCTCAGAGTAGAGCCGCTGCTCCTCCACATCGAAATGAGTCAGTTGAGGTGTGTAGCGACTATCAAATCCAACCTTTTAGTCGCTTCTGGGTGCRGGGRAATCCAGGCATTTGACGCGCTCCAATTAGTATAATGTCCAGACTGGGAGATATGYTTGGGGATACTCCCATTTATTATATTATTTTTGATTATTAAATGTTACAAAGTCCAGAGTGTTGGTCTATGGCAGCTTGCCAAATAGATGGAAAATTATGGTAAAATGTGAATATGAGAGAGGTTAACCAGCATTTTAACAGAGAGCGGTAAAAACCGTGTGACTTCCGTACACCCTTCACCTTTCCTTTTCACCTTGACACCTATATAGATTTCCCCTCCACAYCGCCACCAGTGGTAGAGCAAAAATATAGGTCAAAGTGTCAATCCAAATAAACAAACACTGCCACCAAACCAAACTGAACTGTAAAAGCAAAATAAGAACCCAAACTATACCCAGAACCCCCAGAACTACAAATGGCTCCTATAGAGGTGGTTTGGGCATCTGATTAGGACGCCTCCCTTTAGGTGTTCTGGGCATGTCCCACTGGGAGGAGACCCTGGGGAATACCCAGGACTTCAGGGATTATGTATTCAGTCTGGTCTGGGAACGCCTTGGGGTTTCTCTCCTAGACCTGTTGCCTCTGTGACCCGACTATAAGCAGAAGAAGATGGAGATGGAGAAAACAAAGATTTGTTTACCCCTGGGATGTGGGGGGTAGAAATAAAAACTGTTACTGAGACCATCTTGAGAAGCTGGAAACAGCTTTGTTCTCAACGTTGAGGTTCTTTTATATTGCTCAGTGTTTCCTAATTTTAATTTTCCTCAAGAGTCTTAAATCATGGGTTTCTTACATTTGATTCAAGCTTTATTTTCGCACCAGGTGTGAAGGTCTAGGTTTAGGAGGTCCAAGGGCCGCTTCTCGCCCTCGGGCCGTTCTTTGCGCACGTGTTATCTGTGCCGTGCGTAAAGGCGCCTCCCGACTGGAATCCCAAGTCCCTCCCTGACAGAAGCTGCTGCAGCTCAGACACTGTCCTCTGCGCAACGGTGGGACAAGTTCCCTCTTCTCCAAACACTTGGAACTGAAACTCTACAGTACTGTGGAAGAATCTTTTTTTTTTTTTTTTTCCCCTGTCGGGGACTGGATCTCGGTTCGGGACTGAGCGCGTTACGCATGAGCTGAGCCTCCAGCTACTCACCATGAAGGTGACATTTGGAGCTCTGGTGATCACAGCGGGGATCTGCGGTCTGCTGAGCTTCGCCTTGTTGGCCACCTCCATCGGAACCGATTATTGGTTCATCATAGAGACTAAGAACATGAGCGACTTTGAGGACATGAGCTCCCACTCGGGTCTGTGGAGCATCAACGAAGGTAACTTCCTCCTGATTTAGATATTTGAAGTTTTCTCCTCTAGATGTTGTCATGTGAGACCAATGCTGCTGCTTTTGTCCGTTTCGTTGAGTTCAGGCGGGAAGACGCACACAGACTCCATCGCCACTTTTACTGCCGATTCCTCCAGATACTCTGAATTTGAGCTGCGCATGCTCAGTGAGTCTCCTCTTCCAGCTTTGATCGTTCTGATGCTCCTCAGTGTGTCAGGAGTCCACTGATGCTCCATGTGTTTCCCACCTCAGATATGCACGGAGCCATAGTGGTGCTGCTCCCCCTCAGCCTGGTTCTGCTGCTCTTTGGTGGGATCTGTGGGCTGGTCAGCTCCCTGGCCAGAAGCCCCRTCTTTCTCACCGCCACAGCCTCTTACTTCTTCATGTGCAGTAAGTTACGGGTCAGTGTCTGCTCAAGGTGCAAATGTCAGGTCAAAGGATGAGAGCTGGGCCCATTTTTTTGAGAGGAATGCATCTCACCCACCACCTTTCATGCCAGGGTTTTAGATTAAAATCAACTTATTTGGAGAATAATGATGAGTTGTAGCCATTTTGATCAAACCTCGAAAACAACTTTGCACAAAATTTCCTGTAATAAAGCAAAATGTCACGCTCAGATTATGTGTTGAAAGCTATACCACAACAAATCTGTAAAACTGCCATTTTTGTTTTGTTTAAAGTTGTTTAGATGTAGTGGCCATCTTAAATTAGATTGACTCCAAACGTTAATCAGTTGTAGAGGTGTATCTAATGATTGCATTCTGTGAGTTTCATTGAAATCTGTTTGGGTTTTTTTATGATATATTCTGCTAACAGACAGACAAATATGTGCAGTCATTACTACCCACCTTTTGCTGTCAGCAGCAGTTTATAATAACAGTTGTATTAAAAGAAACACAGCAGAACGTTTGAAACGTTACATTTTTGCGGTGATGTTCCAGGRAAGAACATGTTGACAGTGGAAGACCGATTTGTCTCGGCGAGCTCGAGGAAAACGCAGTGCAGCTCTGCTTTGCATCACTTGCTGCAGGTTTACAGAAAACAGGAGCTGCTTAAATGAACAAGACTTCATTTTCTGACACATGAGAGTAATTTGGTGTCTGTGTGCAGAGAGGGACACAGTCCCTCCCACTGTGGAGTTCAAACAACAGGCCAGGATTAAACGTTCTTTTTAACAAATACATTAAAATATCTTGTGACTCATTTACTTTTTGTTGTTGTTGTTTTCGTGTAAAACTGAGCTTTGGAGCATGATTAAGTATGTCACAAACTGACCTTAATAAAAACAAAAACAGCTATAATTKAATTTTGCACGTAAAGAAGTAAAATTTGAGAAAGAGTGAGTTTAATGGTAATTTTGAAAAGCTGTGAGTACACCACAGCCATAAATCTCATACAACCCTTTCAAACGAATTATGGCTGAAAATCCCCTTAAAGCCACAGAAATGGGTTTTAAGCTGCAGCATTTGCCAAAGGGCATAATGTTAAATACTGAATCAGCAAGGTCTATTTTTTTTATTTAAAAACCCACAAAGGAAAATAAGAAGCAATATTTTATTTGCTTTAATAAATACAGGGGTACATTTTTGACCAGTTGTGCATGCAAACACTTGTTCCTGCACCGCTATGGCAGAGAGAAGTGAAGTTAACTTAAATACTTACAGATATGAYAGAAGAGCTAATTTTTTTTAATAAACTTAATTTTAAAACTAGTGTTGGGCACAGATCCACTAATTCACTAACAGCTAATTGTGAAGCTATTGTTTTGTTTAGCAGACAAGTGTTTTTGTGGACCAATAGATCTTCCGGGTCACAGGTCAACAAGTAAAATGCTGAGGTTGCTATGAAAAYGCCATTGCAATTGTCCAAATTCAACAAGCTTAAAAAGCAGAGCTGTAGCATAGATATTTATGAAAAATCTCATCTATGATCCAAAAGGAAAGTTTAACACAAATCAGTTCAAAGCAAATACATTGGGTCTGTATAATGGCACAAATTTACTGGTCAAATTGGTTTCCAATTTCCAAAGCAACCTCAGCATTGTTCTGTAAGCACCACCCACTTTGGGCATGCACATGTGGAGCGATTTTTAACTGCGAAATGGTCTGTTAGCTTCCACCACATTTGTTCTGCTAACTTTAAATTTGCTGACAAAAACAACTATCCTCTCACAAAGGTAGTGCGGTACACCTGCATCAAGCGTCTTGTGTGTGYGTGTAGCATTATTAGCATTTTGTGTGTCCACCTATGTTAGTCTCAGAGTTAGATATACGGGTCTATGTTAAAATGACAGATCTTGAGTAAACGGGTCTCTGTTAGCATTAGCTTCCAATAATTTTCTTTCCTGATCAGTGGTTTAGCGTTTGTGAAGCACTTTGTTTTAGTTAGCCGATTGGCTCGTACATGTCAACCCTACTCTCACAGAATACAACAGGGACAGAGAAGCAGGGAGTGGACGATGAGGTGGTGAACACATTTCCTTGCAGTCTATTGGTTATGAGACTTAAATAAATTTGAAGCAAAGTTTTTCAAAAAACCATAAGATACCAAATGGATTTGTATGAAACTTTGAGGAAATGTTTATTACTCTTTCAAAGGTGTTTATTACACCCAATTAAAGTTTGAAACATTTCAGAGCACTCAGTGACATTTCGGCAATAAGCCACTTGGAGGTTTTGTCCAGAGGTTCTCGGATGTTTATTCTCTTTCCTGGACAACTTTCCATTGCAAGGCTCCTTGTAAAATATGAAAATAACACAAATCCACCTCAGATTTTGATGAAACTTTCAGGGAAACTGTATTGCTTATAGCCCTACCACTGCCAGAAATGTGAGTTAAATCTCATGGCTGGTTTAATAGTTGGATTTTGGTTTTCTAATATTAAATATATACCCGTCTTCCATTGCCAAATAAACCAAACTGAAAACACATGAAAGTTTCAGGAAATGTTTAACACACCACAGAGATCAGTTGATTAAAGTTCAGAACATATCTGAGCAGACCCAGAAAACTCCGCTGTCTGTCTGTTAGCAATGTCTGGGGCCATAACTGAACTCCAACAACTCGTGTCTTCAAACCACCAATCTCTACAGCAGCTTGTATTTTTGTTTTTTGTATCAACCAAAAGACCTGCTCCAGGTGAGGCTTGAACTCACAACCTCGGCATCACTTCAAGCCCAATACTGTCTTATAAGTACCGCGCGCTGACCGATTGCRCCACTGGAGCTTGTTAATCTGAAACGCTTTTGTCTTTTTTTTCATGTTTTGTTTGCCTTTTTTGTTGTGTTATTTTAACATGTATAAAATGAAGATTTATCAATCAAAAAAACTGTGGGGGGTTGTTAGTTCCTTGGTATGTGATGTTGTAAATTGTTTTTATAAATTACAGTCATCAGTATACATTAACAGATAAAAACAGATAAAAGATCATTGAGTAAAACTGTCATGGCCCAAGGACAGATCCTTCCACCAGAAACTCAATGCAGATGTCAACGTATCAAACTTATAGCAGATGCTGCTTTGATTACTTTTCTGAATGGCAACTAAGAGAGCTATGGAAACTTTCCTGCAGCTTTTGAACTTCTCTTGAGAGAGAAAAAAAGAGAAGGTTTGGATAAACAGTTCTGTGGTCAAATAGGAAGCAAATAAATTTATTTCACTACAAGACAATAAAAAGAATTAACTCAATCATGCAAATATTTTTGATCAAAATGYATGTTTCAGAGGAGCATCAGTGCGCAGGGAGCTCCAGTGGTGCAACTGGTCAGCATGAGATATAAGACAGTACAAACACCTCAAGTCATGCCAAGGTTGTGAGTTCAAACCTTGTGTGGAGCAGTGTCTCTTTTTTGTTGCTGCTGAAAAGTAAAGACTTTAAGAACACAATGGCATCAAGGCTTGATTCAAGGTATTTTAGTTATGGATCAGTGTTGGCTGTGATGGACCTGCGACCTGTCCAGGTTGTATCCTGCCCCTTGCCCAGTGACTGCTGGATATGGGCATCAGTGACCCTCGTGACCAGGAAAGGAAGAAGCAGGTATAGATAATGGATGGATCAATGCTGGACTGGTCATCTTTAAAAATGTGAGGTAAATCTCCTAAACTGGTATATTCCCAAATGTCTTTAGAAATACAGTAATGAAATGCATGATTGTTGACCTGTATTGGATAATGATTTCGGGTAATAACACTCAATATTGAAACAAAATTTGGAATGGCAAAGAGTCATCAACAAAACATACAGGAACAGTCCCCACAAACAAGGGTGCAACTTTAGGTCTACCACTGGAGTAAATTGCTCTAAAATAGGTGTTTTCAAACTTTTTGGATCTGGGGACCCCTTACAAGGGTGAAAATTTTCCAGGGACCCCCTCATAAACCCCATGCTGTTTTAAAAATAATCTATTRTCATTTTAACGACTAAATGTCACGGGGATATTACTTTTTGTTTGGTTTAGTATGTTTGTTTTACTAGTGCATTGTTCCCCATATGCATTTTTTAAAATGAAAACCAAATTAACAAWTTATTARATTTTTTTGAGGACCCCTATGATAGGGCTTGCGGACACCTAGGGGTCCTGGGACCCCAGTTTGAGAACCTCTGCTCTAAAACCCTGCATCATTTTCAGCAATTATGCTACATATATGACATTGTAAATGTTTTTAATCAGGTCAAAGTTACTTAAAGATAACAAGAGAGTTGCATCTGTTTACCTTAATTTCTATTGTGTTTGAGCAAATTATGTCATTTTATTGGTGGGGGGGGGGTATATTGACTGGATCAAATTATTGTGGGGGTCATAACTCCCCTTCAAATTACACCTAGGCCCACAAAAACTTTGAAGCGCCTGGAAAAACCATGTTTAAATAAAGTTGCATGCTGTTCTTGAACCCTTTGAAGTACATGCACAGCTTGGTCACTGTAAAGTTAGCACTAAGTTTTTAGCTTTAGCAGTCATAATTATTGTAACTATAACTAGTGTGATCAAAAAGAAAAGTAAGTCCTCTGGGCGGGTTCTTATTTAGTGAAACGTTTTGTCTCTCCTCCAAGGAGTTTCAGAACCCGTCTATAGGASCTACTTATTTTTTCTTTAGGATTTTTCTACCTGGATTCCTGAGATGCRTCAGGAYAWAACTAGTGTGCAATAAAGGTGTCAATCAACATGGGAGGGCCTACACGTGCATTTTTGGTATTTAAATTTGAACACCCCCCACCCCCACCCCACTCCAGCAGAATCTATGAGTCTCAGTATCAAATCTAAGTAGGGCCCGTAGGTGTGCACTTCCCAGTTAAAGTGTTTAGATCTTTRTTTTAAACTGTAAGTCAACCCAATTCAAGACGTCCAGTTGACCTCAGCGAACATTAAACGGGCTACAACTCCATCAGTTTTACACATATTGAGCCTCATTTTGATGTGATACCAGCGGAGAGTCCAACACACAGATAACCGAGCAGATAACACAAAGTTTTGCAATATTGTGATTTTGAATTTTTTTTTTCAAGACTTGACTGAAATGACTCTGTCATTTCTGGATGATCAAAGTTTAAAACTGGAATGCAGCACAGAGAGTCATAAGCATTTCTTTAATGAGTTCTAGTTTAATTTATAATAAATTTAATGTACAATTTAGGCAATAAAATAGTAAAAAAAATACTTTCTAAGGCATGTTTAGCTTATGGACATGACAATAGTTTTCCTTCTTCTATTGGACACAATGACATCACCGTCTTTGATATCAAAGAGCTGATTCAATGATTCTCCTGCCGTACAGAACACAAACAAACCAAAAGCCAGTTGCTGAGTTCCTTTAATAGACTACAGGATAAAGCAGCTAATTAATAACGSCACTGCTCTCCTTCCTGTACGCTCTGTAGTTCAGTCATTTCCCAGCTGTGCCTTCGTGTCTTTGTGTTGYTCCGCTCACTGCAGCGAGGTGCATAAAAATGAGACATCAGACACGGCTTCCTCATCATATCTCCACTTTGCTGCACCTCAGGGTGTAATTGTAATAAAGTCTTTATTAGTCCCGCCCTGGGTAGTTCCACTTGCATCCTCTAAAACCAGGAGCAAGCTGTCAAAATTAAAAGGGTTTCCAATGGCAACGCTGTGAAACTTTGTGGGGCCCTTTGTGTGTGTGTCTTTGTGTGTGTGTGTGTGTGTGTCCCGGTCTCGTCTCCGATGATGAGGGGGACAGATGTGCGTCAACACGTTTCCTGTTTCTCAATATGAGATTACTGAAGACCTGATTTAGCTGGTTTGGTTCAGGACTTCTCACTGTACAAAATACTGTAGTAAAATACCAGCTTGTGTTTATGTTTGTGCCCTAACATGTTGGTAAAATGAATAATTGGGGAAGGTTCAGTCTATTTCCAGATGTGAACTATTGGTAATTAACCAGTGGCCAGTGAATCTGAAAAAAAAAGGTTATTTATGAAAAAGTTTTTGAATTTAACAAGCCTGTTTGGACACCTAACTAACTTATGAGCCGTTTTGTGGTGGGGTTTTATGGAAAAGTTATGAACCTTCTATATCTTACCTGTTGTAGATAGCTCTTTGAAMATCCTCAGTTTGGAAAATACCTCAGGGGTCGTTGTGACTAAGGACAGCCACAAAGGTCCGGTGATGCCTTCCAGGCCAGAGGAGAGCCAGGTCAGACCCAGAGATCAGCTGAAGAGATGTGGATGAAGTCCAAACCCTCCTGCCCCACCAGCCTCTAATGCTGCATTGACACCAAACGCATCGCRCRCCTCCAAATATCTCAAAACGCACGCCTCCCGACACTGGTGTCCAGTGAGGACAGATGCATTTGATATGGATATAGACGCACATCTAGACGCGCAAGAGGAGGAGCCCTTTTATTCAGATTGGGGGGTGAGAAATTGACCATGTTACAAGTTTTGATAACTTACCAGACATGCCGACTTCCTCAACAATCGTCCTCCAGGCAAAGTATTTTTTATTTCTATCACATTAACGGACACTGGAATGATCATAAATGATCGGACTATCAGTTTGTCCTCCATTGTTTGTGTGATCCGATTTCCCGGGCTTCTGGTATTTCCGGCCCGTCACCAGTACCTCACTGAGCAGAGCCTCTCTGGTTGGTTGACGCGACGCGTCGAGCAGCAAAAGTTCAGATTTTCCAACTCGAGTGCCGGATGCTTTGGACGCGCCGCACCCGTAGAAAACGCTTAAAACACAGGGACCGCTTCGAAYCGCGCTGCTCAAAAYGCACTGCTCGCCTTCTAGACGYCCCTGGATGCGCGTCCACCATTGACCTTTCATGTAAACCAGACGCTCAAAACGTGTTTGGTGTAAATGCAGCATTAGACAACAACAATCCACTTAGTTATGTTTGGACTAGCCATTAGCTCATCAGTACTGTCACACTTACATCCTGACTTTCTACACTGAAGTCATTCAAAGAGCTAACTACACAACAAGTAAGATATTCATTGTTCATAACGTCTCCCACAGAACAGCTGAACTATCGCTGCACAATAAGCTTTAATAGTTTGCTTGTTTCTGTTTGCGTCATCGTCCAGGTCTTCTGACTCTTTGTGGTGCGAGCCTCTACATCATCTACTCCCACCAGGCTCTGGATGAGACCGAGAGGCTAGTAGGGCAGGAAGCTCTGGCCTACATCCACACCTCCTTCGGCTGGTCTCTGGGTCTGGCCTGGCTCTCCTACGGCCTGGAGGTCATCACCGGAGCGCTGCTGCTCACAGCCGCACGGATGGCCAAGCTGCAGCAAAGAGGTCCAAATACGACCTGAACCCACAGTGGACTTCAACTCAAAGAAAAAAAAAAGTTGTRGTGAAGGTAGAGCGAACTCAGGAGGAGCAGCTGTCAGGTAGTTATTGTTAAATAAAATGTAAACTCACTTCAGCTGGGTTTACTGAACACATTCAGCAGATGTGCTTTTATTAAAAAGGTTAAATGTCCTCAGTTTTGCTCAGACGAAGTGAGAAGTTGGACTTTTATTTGATCAACTGCACCCTCTAGTGGTGTGTTTATTTTGTTTTTGCAGATCTAGTAACACTGATTGCCACACTGCTGCAGTTTTATTTTCACAAAACAACAATTTATCACTTTACTTCAACACATATCTTTAATTTGACCATATTTTCTGTGAAACATTTATGTTTTTATTAGGCTGATTGATTTGATGCTGCAGTTTTCATRAATAACAGAGTTGTGTGCAGGTTTTTAATGTGTCTCACAGTAAGTAACACTTATTTGTGGTGTGATTTCTTTATTCATGACAAAAAGTATGGGGGAAAATATTGTCCTGCTCTCAAATTGAAAATATACKCTCTTGGATTAAGTCAGGATAATTCTCCCATAAAAATTCTGTTTGAGCTCTTGGATCTAAACACATTTTTCCTTTTTATGTATTTCTCATGTTTGTGTATGTACAATGTTTTTGGTTTTTCCTTATTTCTATCCCAACATTTCTTTACGTCGGGGTAAAAAGCCTTCACAGCTATATTTACAACTAAAGAAGCAGCAGGTGAGTTTTGATGCTTGGCATTTATTGTCGTGGGCAAAGTGGATGTTATATGCACCTAAATCCCTGTTGCAAGTTCTGACTAAAAGTTTAGAAAATATACTAATTACTCACCTCAAAATATTGTTCTTAAATACAGAAAATTGATATTCTGTGCTCGCCTGAGAGAAAGAGATGGAAATGTGGAAATCTGCTGCAGACTGCACCAAAAGTCAAGGCTGAAAGAATATCTGCAGTTTTGGGCCTCAATCAAAAGAAAAGCAAATGTTTGTCCCTCTGGCTCAGATACTGTATAGTTATAAAAAAAAATCAACAGTTTATTTTGCCTGTGAGTTATTCAATAAAAGGTTATCTTCCACCCACCAATAAAATTTTCCTTTAAATAATGTCACAAATCTTGTGTTGGTTCTTTTTAAAAAACAAAAGAATGTTTAAGTGTAAACAATATACAAACTGAGACGTTTCTTCATCTATAAACATTAATGGGAAAAATGGGATCTATTGTCCACACAGGGTATAAATGCATAATACTGCCTGCCAAGTACCAGGTACACACCATGTGTAAGATGATACCTGGTATATAGCAGGTAGCTCTGTTGACTGGGCTGTAATACAAAAAGTTGTGACGTTGTGTAAATACTAAATGTCTTGAACTTATATAGTGCTTTATCACGTCCATATGGACCCTAAGGTGCTTTAAACTTCAGTCATTCAACACACTGATGGTGGTAAGCTACATTGTAGCCACAGCTGCCCTGGGGCACACTGACATGCACCGGCGCCACCCGACCCTCTCAAGCAAGTTCAGTGTCTTGCCCAAGGACACAACTGAGACAGCTGGAATGGGGTATTGAGCTGGCAACCTACCGGTTACGGGATGACTCTCCTAACCACTCCACCACAGCCGCCACATAAAATACTAAACAAAAACTGAGCAAATCCTTGTATTCTACTATTATTTATGTTTTACACAACTACCCAACTCCATTGGAACTGGAGTTGTACAGTATAGAATGGTACTCTGTATTTAAAAGGTAAATACTTGGTATTAGTACCTGATGAGTACAGAGATATATTATTAATGAACAGTTTTTTGAAGTGGACTTCTTGAAGTTGGGAGAATGACGGCTGCAGATTTATTCTGCTAAATGTGAACCTAGATTTAAAAGCTTCCAGTCACAACTCCAGGATCCAGCTTTGTGGTCCATTTATCATCATTCTGAGTTGTTTCCATCACATTAAAACCTTAAAATCTTTACAATCCTGCGGTGATTTAAAGCAGGGTTAAACCACTGCTCACACTGACAGCAGAAAGACTTGAAACATGTATTTACAAACAACAGAATTAAACAAATAAAAAGAATACATCAAGAAACAAGAGTCTTGAGTTTATCAGAAGTAGTTCCTCGTCACAGTGAACAGGAAAGTCTTTTTTTTAAAACATAACTCATCCAGAAGTGGGTGGATATGGGTGTCAGCCCGGTAAGCAGAACTTTCCAGCAAACAGCAGCCCAACTATGGTGAAGAAAATGGCCAGGATGAAGAGTACGTACGAGGAGCCCACCGCCGTGTTGTTGGGCAGCTTGTACGGCTGTCCTCCGATCTCACGGATGTAGAAGCCCATCGGGAATATGAGAGCAGCCGTACAGAACAGGACCACTGCAGAGGGGAAGAGAGAGTTAACATCTGCACTGAACCAAACAGGTTTATATCTGCAGCTCCGATGAGTCAAAACATTTGTGCTTCATTCTCGTTCCGATCTCATATTCCCTGCGAGGACTGACAGAAGAAAGGGTTCAGACATCCTCCTCTTTTCTCTCTGCTCTGCCCCGCAGCCCTGACCTCTCCTCATCATCTCATCGGAGACCGTGGCTTTATTTGGGACATAAATCGGGCTGTTAAAAACCTTATTTTCTGCTCTGTTGGCACAGTTACTCATCGGGACAAAAGGTCAGAAGTGCATAGAAGTACCAGAAGAAGGCAGCAGAGCTTCCAAACAGAAATAATCTCAGTAGAAAACCTTAAAAAAATATGCAAAGAATTATGGCTGGAGCTGCTCTGACCACTTAGAAATACACAAAAAACATACTATACTTAAATAATTAGAGACAGAAATAAGTTGTTGTGATTCTTGCCTTGGTTAGTGTTTTATGATTCTTTGTGTGTGATATTTCCTCAGTCTGTTTTGTTTGGTATTATATTTTCTTATTTCCTGTCTTGTCTCCCTGTGTTTCCTGTGCCATTTCCTCCATCCTCAGTCAGCTTCTTAGTGTTTTTCCATGAACATTACATTAAAGGGACAATATCAAGTAAAATCAAATTTTTTTTAGTTTTATATCATGTTATAATGTTATACTCTCATAAAAAAACATGCCCAAAGTCTTGCTCTGACTCATTCATGCATGTCTGAGAAATCCTGCAGTGTTTTTAGGAAGCCATGCTGAGGAGCAAAACGACAGGTGGGGACCAGAAACACCTTTTGGGACCAGAAACGCCCCTGGGACGTGCCGAACTTCCTCATCACGGAGCATAACTCCCCACCCCCCTCCCCACACACCCCGTCCATGACTCCTGCAGGCTCTAGGCAGTAACAAAGCAAAGTGAAAGTGAAACTTAAACTGTCTGCTGCTCCTAACACTACGTCTCACTCAGCGAAGCTCTTTTCAGATTCAAAATACCTTTGAGGAAATGTATTTTCAGAAGCCAAGTAAACTGCATCAGCGCATGCGCGC